ACCTTCCTTCGGATTCAAATATTAGGAATGCATGGTTGAACTTTATTTTTAATGAAGTTTCAGCTCACATGAGTAAAACATTGAGCGTTTGTTCACTTCATTTCACCGCGGATTCCTTTGTAAACAAGACACAGGTCGCCGCTGGATTTGCAGAGAGACTGAGATTTAAAAAGCAATGCTGTGTTTCTGTATCGGATCCGACAGGAATGGCGCAGCACACTTATGTGAGTAAAATATATTTATACTATGTGTCACTATTGCTTTGTTAGAGATCGCTTGATATGTCCTGATTATGTGTACGTGTCTAAAGTCACAGAAGGCTCCAGCTATGAAGGATGCAGCTGGTCAAACAGACACACAGAAAGTTAGTTTACTATGCAAAACTGTTATCCAATCATAGCAGCGGGCGTTTACTTCCAAGTCTTCAATGCGGCACGCCCATAAAATCCAAGCGTTTCTCCAGCCGGCCTCAAAACCAGGGTAGAAAATAGCCTATTACTTATTGATTTTGATGTTTTTGAATGTAAAATCTACACAGACGTCATAAGTGGACCTCAGTCAACAGTATAAGATAATAAAAAAAGCCAGTTCATCACCCCTTTAATATCACATTTTGTAGTTTCAATAATGTGACTGTGACGAGGGGGGGCGGGGCCGAGAGCCGTGGGAACGGAGCGAGGCCGGTGGAGTGATTGCTAATGAGAGACACCTGCACCCACTCACCGGTCTCGAGTCTCACGGAGGAGCTCCGGAAGGATAAAGGAGGAGGGATTACAGTGTTGGACGAGAGAGGACCAGGCCTGGATTTTATTTTGTGTTTTGGTTTCGTTTGTGTTTATTTTACTATTTTGTGTTTATTTTATTATTAAAGTTTATTTAAACGTCCGCCGGTTCCCGCCTCCTTCTTCCCGTGACTAAGAACTTTGTTACAGTGACCAATGTCGAACTTTAACTTAACTGACTTTTTTCGTTTGTCTTTAAAAAAATTTTTTTTTTAATGAACATGTTGAACGATAACTAGGAGAAGAATAGAGTATTTGGAGCTTTGATGAACCTGATATATTCAGTTGCAAGTTTGATATGGATGTACACATTTCTGTAAGAAAATGGAAAAGAGTTTATTGTGATGACAGTTTGTTTGTTTGTGTTTAAACTTTATATATAGTTTAATAACCCAGTCATTTTTAATTTTTATTTATGTTTTACATTTATGCCTTTGACAGACACTTTTATTCAGCTTAGACTGCATCAGTCCATGCATTCCCTGGGAATCGAATCCATGACCTTGGCGTTGTAGTGTCACGCTCCACTGTTGGAGCTACATGAATGCCTGATTGCCTGTATTTTGTATGATTTCTATGCAGTAAATTGTTCTGAACATAGTTGGAATTCTCTCTTTGTCTGATTTTCAAGGCCTTCAGGATTTGTATTTAGGTGCATTGCTCTTCTGATATGAGTTGGGCCAAATGATGGGCAGAATTCCAGTTTAGCGCTTGGGATTTTAACTGCATTCGTGGCCCAGTGATTGAGGCTTTAGCTTTAGATATTTTCCCCATTTTTTACCAGTGAAAGGAAGATGTCCTAATGTAAAGAAATGTATGGCTTCCATTTAATTTGACCAATAAGGCTAATATGATCCAGAACATCGGACCTTAATAAAATATGTTGCATTTTAGGTCATTTGCTCCCATCTAATGCAATAT